AATGAAAATACATATTTGATTAAAAAATATAAATTAAAATAAGTTATTTTTAATACTTGTCTTATAAATAAAATTTAATAATTTATGTTAATATATAATTTTTAATATCTTTATTTTTTAAAATTTATATTATATTAATTTAGTACTTTTTATTATTGATGTAAACTTACTACTAATGGACATTGTTATATTTTATTAAAATTAAAATTAAAATATTATATTTAGTCTGCAATCTTATCACGAATCTTTGATCATACTAGGATCAGTTATAATTCAAGTTGTTTGCAACCTTAAGACAACTCTCTAATAATAGAGAAAGTTGGTTATAATTCGAGTCATTGCAACCTCGACACAAGTTTCTGATCGTACCAGGTTTCTTATAACTTCACTAAATAAAAAAATTCCATCTAAAACCAAACATATCCTAAATGTAAATTCATGATACATTTTATTTTATAGCACATTATCATGCTTTTCTTCATAAGCATAGTAGTTATATCACACATTTCTTACTTTGTATTAGGTTGACATTATAGATAATAATTCAAAATGTATGTATTCATTTTATCTGTGGTGCATGGATATCACAACTATTTATATGCTCAAATGAAAAGAATGACAACCAAAAGGTAACACAACAAAAATTAATAAATGAGTTTATTAAATTGCAAAGTTAAATTTCCTATAAACTGTACTAGGAGAATTATTTGAATATAAATTTATACGTATTTTTGAAAAGTTTTCTAGAAAATAAAATGCGTACTTTTGATAAAGAAACTCTAAAAAAAACGTTTTTAACTCGTATCGAAATATGTTTTAGATAGTATAATATTTTATTTCATTACTACTATTAAAAAAAACTCAAAGTCTTTCTACACAAATCCATTCATAAATCTTATGGATAAAATAGCAAAGTAAACAATCCACCCTCAGTTTCATTTTATTGGGGTTTTTGACAATTTTTGTGAGTTTCATTTTACAATACCAATGTAACATTAAATTTTTTTATTTATCTTTAACCATTATAAATGCATTCTTAAATTAATATATTTTTTTTTAATACTGATTTTTATTAGTGAAAATCCAAAAAGTTTAGAAATATATATATTGAAAAATTATATATAAAAAAAATGAAATGAGACATATTAATGTGTTTAAGTCTCATTACCAAAATAAAATGTGTTGTAAGTATCAAAATGTTAAACATCAAACAAAATAAGATAAAATACTAAATTTTTATGGTGTGTAGGAAAAATTGTTATGTTGTGTAGGAATAATTGTTATGTTTGTTCTTATGTTCATTTCTTGACCGATTCTTAACTAGATTATCATGTTGCCAAAGTCCAATTTCTTTATGCAAAGTCAAATCCGCTGTCTTTAACATGTAATTGTTGTCATAATTGTTTTTAGGCATCACAAGTAATAAAATGAAAGGTCATAATAATTACATAGAAATTAAGATTGTTTTAGTCTCCCTTCAAACAAAAGAAAGATCAATGGAAAGAAGAAGGAAAAGAAAAAGTTGAGTAGTGATGCAAAGATGTATTTTTATTTGTTCTCAAATGAATTGTGTCCGGAATGTGTTATCTTTAAGCATTGCACTTTATACACCTGATATAATATCAACATTTTGTAGCTTTACAGAGAGGTTTTGTTAGAACGTTATCATATGATTTTAAAGTTTTCTGCTCTCCTCTCTGCTAAGAGAATGTCTCTCTTTTAAAATAGTAAAAAAAATAATGTTAGATAGCAGATTTTGCATTCTTAAATTAATATATTTTTTTTTAATACTGATTTTTATTAGTGAAAATCCAAAAAGTTTAGAAATATATATATTGAAAAATTATATATAAAAAAAATGAAATGAGACATATTAATGTGTTTAAGTCTCATTACCAAAATAAAATGTGTTGTAAGTATCAAAATGTTAAACATCAAACAAAATAAGATAAAATACTAAATTTTTATGGTGTGTAGGAAAAATTGTTATGTTGTGTAGGAATAATTGTTATGTTTGTTCTTATGTTCATTTCTTGACCGATTCTTAACTAGATTATCATGTTGCCAAAGTCCAATTTCTTTATGCAAAGTCAAACCTGCCCCCATGGGGCCTCATTGCCATCCTTAAGGTCACCACATCTGAAATATTACTTATTTTGATGTTCGTTAGATTGTCACGATTTTGTCATTGAAAATATATCTTAAGAGTTAAAAGGGGCAATTATTTATAAATTATCTTTAGTCTTGATTCTTAAGTAATGTGATACTTTTTAGGCATATCGAAACAAGCTCCCCAATCAAAGTTAAGGAACAAGAGTGACCTGGGTTCTTCTTTTAATAATTACCTACAAAACACGCATGTGTGTATAGCACACTTTAATCCTCCATACAAGTCTCTTCAAACTTCAAGTTGGACAACCTACCTTGACTCATAAGAAACAAAACGACCCAAGCAACACTCATGACTTCTCTCTAAAAAGTTTGAAGATTGAGGAAATTATGTACTACCTAGCTTAGATCGAGTGACCCCTTTTGCTTGCTCACCACGAACCTTTAGTCCATCATCATAAAGCAAAATCTTAAGAGGTCAACTCCTAACAACTAACGAAATACCTTTGTATGATTATCTCCTAAGATCTCGAATTATCATAATTAGGCACATTATTTTTTTGCCTAATTGATAAGATGATATCTTCATTAAATAGACAACATTTTATCATAAATGGGCAAGATATTCTCCTATTTTAAATATACAAATATCGAGTTTAATAATAAGAATTAAGCACTTATTTAAGAGATACCAAACATCACTCTAACCTGAACTCGCATTCTACATTTAAAACTCCCATCTAATTTAAGTGTTAGAATCTCATTACAAGGGCAAAGAACCATCTTCACCATCATCAAAGCACCCATAAAATCATGTAACAACAACAACAATAATAATTTTATTAATATCAGTTTGATTATAATTGAATCATTAAATCTTGAGACTGATTCAATAACCTGCCTAATTTAAAAAATATTTTTTTACTCTTTGTTTCTTAATTTATCTCTCCAATAATCTAGCACATCATTTATCTATTTATCTATCTTTCTACACACACTTTTAAATAAAGTAATTTGGTGTATTTTTTTCCAAAGATTTTTGTGCATAAAGTATGTTTTTTTTTTCAATTTTATAATGAATTTGTTCTTTTTCAATAAAAAAATATTTTCAGAATAGTATATTTAATATTTTAAAAATTATTTTTAAAAGTATATATATTTTTTATATTTATAGAATGTAATTTTTAAAACATTAAATTTACTGTTCTAAAAAAGTATTTTCAGAAGTATAATTAAATTTTCTATTTCAGAAATAATTTTTTTTGTATTTTATAGAAATAAAATTAAAAGGTATTAAAAAAAAAAAGAGTAATGAAGGTATATTGTAAATAGAGGGTGATGTATTTAACAAAAGTCAAACTTATTACATTCCTAGTATCTTGTGTTCTAGTCTATAGTTGAAAAAATTGTGAAAATTAAGTTATTTTAATAATCAAGTAAATGCATAATCAATTATTGTTATAATCTAAATGAATTATTATTCGGGTAAATTTGAAAAACTATTTTAAGACATTAAATTTCTTTTAGATACAACAAATAATCAATTTTTATGTAATAAGTCAGTTTAAAAAGAAGAAAAAAATTGTTTAGAAATAATCACAAGCTTTAAATTTTTAATTTTATAAAAATAAACTGTTTTGAAATTTAAATTATTATTTTAAACATACGGCTTATTTTTATAAATAGTTTTTATCTCATTAAAAAGAATTAAAATATAAGATCTTCTAACGAGGACTATATGGAAAGCAGAACTGTTGATCAAAAACTTAAAACAGTGGCACAGGAGAGGATATGGTGATGGAATTTTCAACATAGACAGAATGAAAATCTTTCAATTTCTTAACTTCGATTGTTCACAAAAACAATAGAAACCACTCTTGTCTTCTAGAAATTCCTCCTTGTTCTCTCAATTCTCTCAACCTAGATAAGACTATATTAATTTCAAAATTCAATTTAAATAATCCTTTACAATTTAGTTTTCCTTCAACCCAAAATACTCCTTTCTTATTAGTTTTCCTTCTAACCTGAATATTAGGTTAACTTGTAATACTACTGCCGTTAGCTAAGATTGAAAAAAATAATTATTTTAATTGATTAATAATAAAAAATTTCATTTACACATACAAGTCTTTATACTATTTTTCAACCTTCTTCAATATCAAAATAAGTCTTATACTATTTTTCAACCTCCATTGATCTCAAAATAAGTTTCGTCCTCCATTGATTTGAAAATAAGTTAACAAAATGTAGACCCCGTGAACCAATACCTGAACAATAATTTATATTTGATTTTACACATTTAATATTTTATTTTTTGAGTACAATAATTACGCTGAATAACTTGATTTATTTTAAATAATTTAGATTACGTCAGACTCTAACTATTTAATGTTAATTTAAAATTTTCTTTTCATTAAAAGTCTAAGGGTATCATATAACTTTTCCTGTGATTTATATTATTTTTTAATTGTAATGAATAATTTGGTTTACTTTAGATAATTTAGACACTTTAAGACTTATGAAAGATTGTCAAATGTTAATATTTGAGTTTTTCTTTTCTGTTACTTCGGATGAAGCTTTATGGTATGATCATATATATTTTTTTTTTATCCTATGTTTTAGTTTGTGCAAAAAAAACACTCGAATTCATATTTGAAATTCGAGACAAAATTACGTACCATTATTTTCTCAAAAAAACAACTTTATTTTTGTATAGCAGAAAATTCAATTAACCATTTAGTTCAGTTGATATGTTTCAACGGACTGATCCAATAAAATTTATTGATTGGGATTGCATTCCTCCCCAAATCTGAACCAAAGGATCCACACCCGAACTCTGCGATCCAATTGAATAATGGACGACGATAATAAATATAGAACACAAAGGACAGTTACGAAATTCAGAATAGTTTCAATATATACATTCTGCTACTTGTTCAGTGTCTGTACACAAAATTGAGCAATGACTTGATCTACTCGAGATATACGTTCTCCCTCGTATATAACAAGAAATTTTCTGTCAAGATCAGTGCTCAAGATACTCTAGTTAGTTGGCCCACAAACGAAACTATAAACACTACTCGTCAGCTCCACCTATGAAGTGAAAGCAGTCCTATTTGAATTGAAAAAAAAAACATGTAAATGAAAAAATTAAAAAATAAACAAATATTGTCAGCTAAATTCTCCATTTTTAAAAACCCTACAGAGAATTAGCACATCGAAAAGAACATAAAGTAAACACATATCTTGTATCAGTTGTATAATTCTATTCGTCTTATGCACCTATATATAGCTAAAAAAAGGGCCACCAAGCCAGGACATTATAGCAGACGCTCGAACCAGTGAGGCAGATCCAGCCAAAATCCACAACCTCTCATTATGGACTTCTGCAGCAGCTCTCTAGTCATGCTTCATTGCTTGAATTCCCTTTGAATCATTGTTCAGATCATCATCCAAGTTAAGAAATTGTGGTGGTTCTCCAGCGTTATAGTCCCCTGGCTCTACTATTTTCAAGAAATCTAATCCATAATCAACACCAGATGATGTATGATCCATATGGGGCAAACTACCCAACAACTTGGCATCTGGATTTTGCAACTGATAGAAAAAGCTTGAAGGCGTATCAACCTGAGGATTATTACCATTTCCAGGAAAACCCATTTGTCCAAAATCCAAACCTTGCATCAACCCTGTGTCATCAATTGGGTTATTATCTAAATGCCCCAAAAGCTCATCCACCTGAAATAACTCATCCGTGGAAAAACTCTTCAAGTAATCATCATTGAAATCAAAGTTATCAATCCATGAAAAGTCCATCTGATCTCTATTTACATCCTCGGCAACCTGCCCAGCATCATGTGTTGCTTCTGGTCTTGCATCTTGAACTTCCACAGCCCCCGGGTCTAAGAGATCCACATGCTCATCCCTAGGCTCTTGCTTCATTCTACTAGTTGGCGAGGCAGATTCATAATCCTTATGACATGCATTAACCTTATCATTCACATTGACACCTCGGGACTTCTCTTTAACATCCTCAGCTGCACAAACCTCTGATTGATTTGATGTAGTGGTAGTAGTCTCAGAGACCGCCGTCGCGGCCGAAGAACAAGAAGACGACGCAGCCAAGGATGACTCCTTCAACGATTCCTTGACAGAAGCATAATCTGATATGTGGGGGAAGTTAAGACGTGCACATGGACCATACATGGCTCTAGCAGCTTCATCATAGGCAAGAGCAGCTTCTTGGGCAGTAGAGAAAGTACCCAACCAAAGCCTATTTCCTCTATTTGGCTCCCTAATCTCACCAACCCACTTGCCCCATGTCCTCTGCCTAACACCTCTGTAGTTACACTGAGAGTTTTGGGGTCCTCCCTTCCCTTTCATGCACCCTTTCTTTGAACCTTTAGCTGGTGCCTTACGAGTTGGCCTACCATCATCTTTGCCAGAATAAAGATGCTCATTGTATTCCTTCCACTTTGCAATAGTCTCAGCCACGGATCTAGACCCATCCCCTCTGCTCCTACTTTTCCTCTTTCTAGAAGAATCCAAGGGCTTAAGAGAAACTTGATCATAAGCACCCATGTCCACAAGCTCCAGTACTCAGTACTCAGCAAAACTCAATAACGGAACTCCCAACCTGTAAGAAAAAAAAAAACACAACTCTTCAATAATCAACAATTCCAAAAGAACAAAACAGAACACAAAGGTGAAAAAGTACAAACAAGATTCCACAACACGCACTAATAAATAATAGATTCAACCAAAAAATGAAGAAAGGAATTTTCGTAACCCCCAAGTAATAGATAAAGCCAAACACCAAAAAATAAAAACAAAAACAAAACTTGCTGGGCAAGATTTTTCCTTTTTATTTTTATTTTTTATTTTTATAAAAAAAGACACTGACTGAGAAATAATAATTCAGAAGCAGAAAGCTAAAAAATAAAAACAAGAAGAAACAACTCTACACAAAAATTGCACACAGGAATTTACAGAAAATAAATTAAAAGAATTCACTAGAAACAGAGAGTTATTAAGATTTAAGACACGAGAAAGAATGGAAATGGTACGAACCTACACGATCCTGATGGTGTTGAATTTGAGAGAGAGCGTAGTGTTTGTATTTCGGGTTTATCCCTTTATTTTCGGTGTGTGTCTTGTTTGGAGTGAAGAGATTTTTGTTTGGGTAAATAGGGTTGTTGTTGTTGTTGAGCTATGGGTATAGCGGATTCAGAAAATCTCTGGGCTCGCACCTTGTAATCTCTATTTATAGCCTTCTCTAGATATTTCTGATACTTTTAATTGCACCCCCTAGACTGGTGACGTGGCGCTTTCTTAGTCGCGTTCTGGTGCTTCACGGCACGTGGCACTCGAACCTTCCGGAGCCACCAAAATGCCTGCCAAACACCAAATATCGAGTTCTTTTTTCCTTTTGTTACTAGATAAAGATAAATATCTAGTTGTAATGTTAATCTTTATTATTATCATTGAATTTAATGGAAAAAAAAAATTTGAAGGTTGCAGCTTCCTCTGGAAAGTGGGCCTGGTTTAAATGAAACTGGGCCCGGAGCCCGATTGTACGAAATCTGCTTCCTCTCCTTTCAATTGGACCAGGACCTTTCTATGTGACTATATTATTGCGACATATATGACGACAACACAAACTAGAGGTGATAAGTATGCAATAAAATATTAGTGATAAATAATCATAAAAAATAGTAAATTACTTCTTATATTCAGCTTTTTGTGTTAAAATATTTTTTAAAACCTTTAAACACCGTTTGGTTGATTTTAGAATGAACACGAATGAATCGGTACGAAGTATAAAGCGGTAGATACCGAAAGAAGTTTTTAAAATTTTGAGGTGATAGATATTAGCTTTGCCGGGGAAAATAAGCTGCTTTTAATTTTAAAATATTACTGTTGAAATGAATATGTGGCATACAAGTAAAGGAGGCACATGTCAGCTGGAAAATGCATTCCCGAAATATAATAATTAGTTATTATTACTTTTTTTAATTAAAAAATTATAATTCTAAATTGTTATCAACAGATCATTAAGTAAACAACTATTTTGATTTATAAGTTTAAAAAATTTTATCATATCAGTTCCTCAAACTAATATATTGCCAAATAAATTATTAAAATATCAAACATCAAATAAATTTTTAAATTAAATTACTTAATGTCATTTTATTTTTTTTATAAGTTTTTGCTTCTTGTGCATATATTTTTTGTTTTGAATTTTAGAGTAATATAATTGTCAAATTGTATTTTTAGATACTTATTTAATTTTGCAAACTAGTATAAAATGTGTTCCAAATTCCAGTCAAATTTAGCGTTTCCTCCATATATTTATAATAAATAAAATAAGGAATACAAGAATAAAAAAAAAAAAAAGTAAATTTAAAAATCCTAATTCGCATGTCCAAGTAGTGAGGATGAGGCATATCCTGAATTTGTGAAGAGTGCTATACATGTGGGACACGTGCCAAGTTGGATATGCAAGGGGATGGTAAACGCGTGATTGATGAATTGCGGTTTGATGATATCCAAACAAAACCTAATGAATGGTAGTTCTAAGTTATAAGTTGTTGTGTAGCGGGGATGGAGATAGGAAACAGGGAAAAGGGGAATTGGTTAGTACTGTAGTTCATAAATATAATAGAAATTTGTACGTAGTTGCTGACACATACACACTGCTGTTGAGCCCGTGAGGCCCATCTTTCATTACGTCACTCATCTTCTGCAACTTTCATGGATCAATTTGGGCTGATTAAAACACCAACTTCACTCATCATTTTCAAATTTAATAATTTTAGAGAAATGTCTTAAAATTTTAGTACGTGTTTGGATTTGGTTTGGGAAATTGATTTTCATCTTCACCGAACAAAATTAATTTCTTCAAAATATAGAAGTAATCTTTATCGGCCTCGGCAAAAATTAATTTTTATATGTAGAATTATGTAAAAACAATTTTTTTTAAATATATACAAAGATGAAGAATCACGTTTTTAAAAGAAGAAAACGTGCATTATCCTACCAAAACGTGCATCCAAACGTAAGTTTAGAGGTCAAAATACTAATTCACTCTCCTAAATATGGACCCATACTTCATAACCATTTTTTGTGATCTTTGCCATTAAATCTTAAATTATACTTTAATCTCTATACTAATATAAAATAAAATATTTTTAATAATTATTTTTAGTATTCATATTTATTAGACTATTATATTATTTTATTATTAAAAAATTAAAAAAGTAATAACTTTTTAATAGTTATTATTCTCTTTTTAATAAAATTATTCATTCTATTAATTTTATTATTTA